AGCATCTTCCTTGCCAGCCTCCTGAACCAGGGACAGATGCCCCAAACTCATGTCAACAGCATCTCTAAGTACCTGAAGCCATGAGAAAACTCATCCTCATGCCGCTGCCTCCAGAGCAGGACCCTCTGTGCTCAGGAGTGCACCTTTCCATCACACTTGAACACATCAGTGTCCCCCTAGCAAGGATGGGCAGATGGTTCGTGGCCATGGAGGGGCTCAGGCAGGTACGGAAGGAGCTGCCAAAGGTGCCCCAGGATGGAGGCACAGAGCAGAGTGCTGGGCATCAATGGGGAGCCAGAACCAGTGGAGCACAGCCACCCCCTGAAGGGAGAGCCTATCTCCCTAATCTTAGGTTAGCAAAACCAAGGACAAGGTTTTGCCTGGTGTGCGTGTCTCCCTGGTGTCTCCTGCCGTCGGGGCCGGTGGGGCTGAAGCAGAGACGCAGGGGAGCGCAGAAGGGAAGGGCTGAGAGCCGGCCTTACCTGCTGCCGGTCTTGGCCGTGTACTTGTTTCCCCTGTGGTTTGTTTTGGGCTGGAACTGGCCCTGGTGCAGCAGGGAGAGCAGCTGGGAGATTTGCTGTAAGGCAGGAAAAGCCTGTTGAGCCCCAGGGCCATCGCCACTCAAGCTGCTTCCTGCCAGGACGTCCCCTCCAAACACCCCCCACCCCGGCCCTTTTTATAGCGTTTCCTCCTCCTGCAGATGGTTCAGCATCCCCACGCAGGGGGAAAAACAAGTGGCTGAGCAGCTCACCTGGCCCCAGCGCTCCCCCTGCGCCAGAGTGCAGGGTTGTTCCCTTCTCCCCGTGACCCCACCAGGGTGTCCTGGTGGCTGCGGGGAGACCCTGCCCAGGACGGGGTGACTGTGTATCCCACCCAACCCCTCCTGCTGGGGCACCTCTGCCCAGGGCTGGGAGAAGAGACCAGCCAAAAGACCATCAGGTTGCACATTCCCACCACCACAGGGTGTGCAAGACCTGGGTAAGGAAGGATTTTGGGGGAAGGGGTTGTCCACATCTCCA